ATATATGATATTTCTATATATAGCACAAAAAAAGAATGAGTCATTGAGCCTTGTCTGACAAACTTCATGTTTCTCTTCGAACAAAGGCTCAATATAAGTTTAGCTCCAGTAACACATTTTTTGATTGAGTGTTTTCAAAAGATGAAGTCTACTTTGATTAAAAAAAATAGAACAGTGTGGACGCACAGAAGAAAATAAAACTAATACTGTATGACACAATACTGTTTGATTGTTTTGATAAGAACAAGCACAACTTGTGCTGTCAACAAGGTCTTATCAGAGAAAAATGGCGTATTTATTAAGTATTTTTCAACCCGTGCAAATGGGTCAACCCAACCACTTCAACCTATTACCATACTGGAATACATTTATTACGGTAGATTTATTTTTTATCGAATAGGCGCAAATTAAAACATAAACATACTGAATGATAGAAAACTTCTAAAGCTTCGAAATATTTTTTTTTTTCGTGATAATATATTTTTAAAAAAATCGACTAAAATTTCTTTTTCTTCCGAGGTATATATATATATGTACGAAAATAAGCTTGTGGTACAAGTTGTAATTTCGTATTGTTTGAAATATTATTTGGATCAACTAGAAAAATATAAGATTATTCTAATAGAAAAAAAAAGCAAAAGAAAAAAATTTATAATTATTGACTTGTTTGTATATTAAGATATTCATTTAATGCTTTATAATATTCATCACTTGTTTTAGCTGAACAAATAACCATTGATGGTTGAATATCGGTTAGAACTAAATGATATTTTTGTTTTTCTTTATTATTTTTCTTATAATATCTTACTCTGTTGAGTAATATCAAACCGTGATGTTTCTTCAACATCCGGAATAAAATAAATAATTGCTGATGTTGTATCATAAAATGCAGCTCCGAGTTTATTATATGCAAAGAATACACTAAGATAAATCTTTTGCAAAAAAGAAAAATAATATTATTTCATTAAAATTAATTAATAGACATATATCAAACTACTTGAATACTGTGAGTATCTAAATCGGATGTTATTGATGAGATATCATCTTGATACATGTTCAATTATTATATGAATGAATATTTTCATTTCAACTGATCTTTTTGTTTTCGATTTATTATTTACCACGTGTTAAATACATGTGATAAGAAGAAAAAAAAATCAAATTAATTTTTTCATTGAATACTTTATTGAGAGTTTAGAATAGAATAAGCTTATTAATAAAAAAAGAAACGAAATTATTTTTATTAAGTTGAATAAATTAAATTTTGTCTTTTTATCTAATAATGTTAGAAATGATTATCTCTATTGTACAGTTCAGAGAAATAACTGACAATTTTCTAAAAATGGGAGCGTCACTTCTCCTCCTGCGTCCTCCATGATAACATCGCTGGTTATCTATTGAAATAAACGCTATTTCGCCGACATGACAATTAAAGAATGACTCAAGATAATAACAATTGTCGTCGTTTCTGTAGAATAATATCACATGTTTTCAATAGCTAAAATGTTACTATTGTTGCATAGTCATCTGTGTCACTTGACAATATAAAATCAAATGACATAATTTGTTGTTTTGAAACACATGTTTCATGTATAGAATATATTTAACTATTGTTTTTGATATAAGGTTTCAAGGTCGAACTTTTTTTAAATAATCTATTATTATATATTTATAATGTACTTTTGTTTTTGTATCTCTATACAAATAGTTGTACTGTTATCATCGAAATGTCCTCATTAAAAATAGAAGTATTTTCATCATACATCTCGAAACAACAATGAATCGAAGGTCACAACACTGTTTTTCTTATCAAATAGTACTCGAGAGAACGAAAGAAAATAACAGTAGAGAATGACACTATCACAATGATTGAAGCATTAATGTCAGCACATTCTATTACTTCTTTTCCTCTCTCATGTGCTGAAATCATAAGTTGAATGCGTGTTATTCACATGATTCACTTCTCTTTTTTTATTTTTTTTTGTAGCTTGCGTCGCCTGCGCATTCGTACCGACAGATGTACTGTGGAGCAAAAAAGTTTGAATATAAAAGGTGTTAGTAACAAATAGTATGCGTGTTTTTTGTTTTTCAGCTATTTTTTTGTTTTTTTAGGTGATATCAAAATGACTAAAGGTATATCTGCTTCAAACACTCCTGTTACCTCCAATGTAAATACATCAAATAAACAAGAATTAATTCGTCAATTGTGGTTAACAGCAGATTGTGTTTGTTTTGATGTTGATTCAACTGTATGTATGGAAGAAGCTATTGATGAATTAGCTAAATTTCAACAAGTTGGTGCATTAGTTGAAGCTATAACAAGAAATGCTATGGGTGGTAATATGAGTTTTCGTAAAGCATTACAAACACGTCTTAATCTTATTCAACCAACATGTCAACGTTTAGAACAGTTTCTTATAAATCATCCATCACAATTAACAGATGGTATTGCTGAACTTATTGATTTATTACATGAACGAAAAATTCCAGTCTATTTAATAACAGGTGGTTTTCATTCTATAGTTGATCCTGTTGCTAAAAAATTAAATATTCCATTGAAAAATGTTTTTGCCAATCAATTATTATTTAATGATGATGGAACATATATTGGTTTTGATGAAGATGAAATGACATCTGACTCCGGTGGTAAAGGACGTGTTGTTGAACATCTTAAAAATCAACATGGTTATCAACGTTTAATTATGATTGGTGATGGTGCTACTGATATGGAAGCAGATGCAGATGGTTTTATTGGTTTTGGTGGAAATATTATACGAGAAAAAGTACGTGATGGTGCATCTTGGTTTGTTAATTCATTTTATACACTTATTGACGAACTTCGAAACAATACTATAACCACTGTTTCAGATCATCAACCATTGCCTGCAAGAAAATATTCAACAGAAATAAAAGCGAATTAATATATATGTATACATATTTTCTTGTTTATTGATTTATCGTATTAGAGTAGAATATATTGTTTCGTTTTTGCTTTTCATATTCTTACAAACTCATAACTGAGTTGATAAATATAATAAATAAATAAATAAACAAGATGATGAAGTAAGTTATGAGATTAATCATATTTATGTCAATATAAAAGTACATACATGATTTTCAGCAACGGCACCGAGAAAGGGACAGAGGGTCAGCCCCTTCGATGATTATTTGAGTGCACCTGACAAGTCTGTTGGAGAAAAAAAAATATCTTTTAAAAAAACTTGTTAGAAGACTCAAAGACCCGTAGGGGAAGCCAAGCCCTCGACACTACCTCCGAGCTTCATCACTGATGAGTAAGCAAAAATGTTTCCCATGCTAGCGAAGTCACAAATGATTTTAAAATAGCTTTGATCGAAAATTTTTTTCGACTTTGACCTGAAATGGCAAAGATTTACAGCGTTTTCTACGCACGTCTTATCAGGATTCCATCAATATTTTTCAAACTTTTGAGCTTATACTTTGCTCATAACTAAAGGATATCTAAACTAATACAACCTTCAAAAAATTCTTGTACTTATAGAGATTTTACTAAGATATCAATGTTTCAATACACAAGGATGTTTCGTTTTTATTAATTATTTTATAAAAATCCTGCATTTTAAAAATATTCATACTTCGATTAAATCTCAAGAAATAAGAAAATTCTTTGAACGTCGTTCTAGTTTAAATCTTCTCTACTTATGAACAAAATGTAAGATCAAAAGTTTGGAATCACTAATAGGACGTTCATTGGACATTCCTGCGAAATGTTTCAAATTTCTGCCATTTTAGGTGAAAGTTGTAAACAGAGATGTCCATCGCGACTGAAACTCTGCCGCTGCCGCGTCGCGGCATTAGAAAAAAAAATTGCTGCGCCGCGATGGTTTTCGAAAAAGTGTTTCGATTTTCACTGCTGCAACCGTATTGGACCAGAAATATTGGTACTAGTCCATCAGATTCATTCAGTCTCGGGGTGTTTCATTTGTAAACAATGAAATTCTATTAAATTCATGCAGTTTTTCAATGTCCTCGAAGAAAGTGCTGCCGCTGCCGCGATGAGTTTTTAAGAAACCTGCCGCTGCCGCGCCGCCACCGCCACGCTGGCAGCGGCAGCGGCAGCGCCGCCATGGACATCTCTGGTTGTAAAACATTTTCGGATGCAATTGGATTTCAGTGATAATATTGATGTAGGTGAGACTTTTGTCTTAACCCATACACGCTCCACTTTCATACCCTCAATTACACCCACACCCAAAATGCATTGCAACTATATATCATCAACATATAATTTGGACGTTTGCAGCAGTGTTCCTTAGCTCATATCATTCATTAGATAATGATGTGTAGAAACTTTTCATATCGCACGTTTCATCGTACTACTGTCGGTATACCAGCGTACTCATAAGAACCGGCGGTAGTGCTTACGATTTTCGAATCCAGCTCTAAACAATTGTAGAGAATAGTTTCGACTCCAAATCGAAACCTAGAAAGCAGTTTCAGAATATATATTTTACTAAATAAATTTTCTTGCAGCGCCATCTATAATCAAAATGTTATTCCATAGATGCATTAACATTGCCAGTGTGCATTGCGCCAACAACTGAATTCTATCGATTTTCATCGACTTCAAAAATACTCGCACGTTCTTATGCAGCACATCATGACACCATATTTTCAAAAAAAAACTGGCGATAATTTCACGGTAATTATCACGTAGGTTGAAATTTCTATAAATTAGAATTCACCATGTCCTCAACAATTAATTACCACATATACTCTTTTTCATAAATGTCGTTATTCCGGTAAACATTTTAGTTTTTGCAATTACTAAAACAAAGATATTTGATACAAAGAATATTTAATTTATGATGAATGAACATATTCATATAGAGAAATACAAGTTATATTTTATTTCACATAAGATAAAGTGAAGCAATGATAAAATATAATGTGTATATATATATATAAATATAAGGAACATTTTTTTTAGAAAGAAAAAAAAAACTAAATTTTAAAAATTGTCAATTGATTTTTGTAGTAGGTGCTCGTTGATGAAGTGTTCCTTCATTTGAACTTGTTGTTAGTGGATGAACACGAGCAGTATTATTAATACGTGGACTAAGTTTACGTGTTCCATTTGAACTACGTTGTGTTGACCATTCATTTTCATTTTCATCATCATTTATTTTACCATTTATATTTATTGCTGAAGTAGAATCAGCAATTGATGATGTTGTTGATAAACCTTTATGATAATCAAGTTCTTTATTCTTTTGATTAAGAATCATATCGTCGTCTTTTTCAATAATACCAATTTTACGACCAAGCCAACGAAATTTCGCCACAATCTCTTCTTGCATTAAATCAAAACACATAGCCAATATAGCCATACCGATAAATACGTATATAGCTCCAAGAAAAAGTTTAGCACCGGCGTTTGGATCATCTTTTCTTTGACCGGGTACCTAAAATATAACTTATGTCTTTTTTCTTCCAATAGAAAATTTTTCTTATCATGATCAAAATACTATAAATGAATAAAAGAATGTGACTAGAAATAAAAAACAATATTTACATCAATGAAAAATCTTTAGAGAGAAGTATACTGAACACAGTAGATCATTGCTGTTCAAGAAATACCTAAATGTATTCATTGTGAGAAAGATCATTATTCACACTGCTTTTACTCGTACTCGTCTCTTCAAACATCCTATTCAACATTCTGATATGAACATTTAGGCATATACGAATGCAAGATGCAAGATATACAAGTTGCCATTGAGTCGCTAAAAGAAAAGTTGATAAAGCAAAGATCCAATGATTTCATTTGTTCAAGGCAGGACGAAAATTAGTGTGAGTTGGATTAGGGCACATCTTTGAAAGAGCCTATTGTGATATTACCCAAATTAAAAAGATCTTTGACACTTAACCTAATGCTGTTTGAAAAGATTTATTTCTTTTGATACTTTTTTTCTTGCTTAAATTTTTTGTACTAAATAGGTCGTCCCTTTATCACTACTTGGATCAGAAGGTGTAACACAGTAGTAAATGAGAAGTATAACATCAAAAAAGCAAGAGAAGAATAAATAAAAAAGATATACATATTACGTACAAAATCACCGAATCCTATTGTTGCTATAAAAGAAAAAAGAAACAATATTTCATATTTTTTTTTTCTAAATTTTATATTAATTTATACCCAATGTAATAAAACAAAAATATCCCGCTTGTGTCATAGACCATTGTTCAAAACTATGAAATATCAATGAACCAGCCCATATATATGCAGCAATAATTAACATTGTTATTGTTAATGGTACAGTAACTCGTTTATTATGTAATTGTTCGTCATCATCGGTATCTATTGCATTCATCGAATGATTTGTTGGTTTTTTATTTGTATTATTATTATTATTATTATTATCATGAATTGTCCAACCACCAGTATTCACACGATCAATATTCATTCCACTTTCTTCTTCAAGTTTAGCTTTACGTGCATCTGCACGTCGTTTTTTTATCATATGACATGGTTTACAAAGAACTTTTGAATATAATAAACGAAACATTTCTCCAAGAACACCACTTATATTTGCAACACATAAAAGAAATATTGGAATACCTAAAAAAGACAAACAAATAATCGAAAAATGTCTCTATTTATCATACCAATTGTTGCATAACATATACAACATATTTGACCTTCCCCTATAAAATATTTAATATTTAGAAGACAAAAAAATTATTTAAGGCCTCCCCCATCAAAAATCGATTTCAGGGCCAAGTACATTCAAATCCTGTGAAATTTTTAGGATATGTTGGGGCTATGGTGAAGAGGCTGTGGTAAAATTTTCAGCTCGAAACCATGACGTTTGACAGAGATATGAACCAAACAAGGGTCAAAAATAGCTCATTCTGTGTCCAAGATTTCTCGGCTCAGACTCATTCAATATATTTAAATATTGTTTTGTTAGAAAGAGTATGTCAGGATACAGGGCATTACAAAGTTCTTTTTTCAAAATTCTTACTTTTTTAGCGGAAAAAGACGATCACAAGTTCAATGACTCAAAAAACGCGCCAAAAATGGGTATCTAGTTACATAAATGTCTGTATATATAATAAAAAATAAAGCTTAATTTAAAAAAGGACTCTGTGGTGCCCTACATCTGGACATGCTCTTTCAAACAGAAAAAAATTTAAATATATTGAAAGAGCCTGAACCGAGAAATTTTGAACAAAAGATCAAAAAATCATAAACCGAGAAAAAACGAAAAAGATTTTCAGTTTTTTCTAAAAATGGCTTATTTTTCGAATCGGGAATGACGGAAATCTTCAAAAATTTTTGGAAAAAAACGAGGTGCCGATAAAAAAATTTGGTCATTTATGAAAGATCAGAACACGGCCTATCTTCCTATGCATTTATCTCAATATCGATGATTCTAACGAAAAGTGACTTTTTTTTGAAAGGGGAGGCCTTAAAAACAAAATTTGTTCTTACATGTCATTGGCCTAAAAGAAAAAAAAAGAGTTTTTCATTTATTAGTTAAACTTAGTTTGTTTGTATTTTTATTTCGTTATTCTTTTTCTTACGTTACATTTCCATAACCAATAGTGGTAATTATTGTTATGGCAAAAAGTAAAGAGTTTGGATATGTCCATTTATTAACAATGGAACAATCATCTCCATAATAACGATATTTTGAACCAGTTGTTATAACAAAATCTCGATAATCATATAACATCAAAGCAATTTTTGCATATGCAACTGTTGTATTATCTTTTTCAGTTGAATATGTTAATGTTGTTGTTGATGATGATGATATATTATATTGTATATAAGAAACAAGTTTTTGTTTAAGTTTTGTTATTTGAACTATATGTTCACCTTGTGCTTCTTGACAATTTAATTTTTCTTGATGTTGTTCAAGTAATTCAAATAAAAATCCACCAGCAATAGCATAAACAACAACAAGACCAACTAAACCAATATGTGAAAATAAAAATTTTGCTGTCTTTTTTATTAATCTTCGTGTTTTGGATGTTTCTATTTCATTAAGTTCACAATGAGATTGGTTATGTTGATAATTATTATCATCACGAATAATTGATATATCATTTCGATGAATATTATCAATATTCATTGATGTATCGTGATATGGTAACATTTTGCTTTTATTATTTTTCTCAATTTACACATACATTCAAAAACAGAAATACCAAAATAAAGAAAAAAAAAGCAATTTAATTAATTCATACTGCAAAAAAAAGAGAGAATTTTTTTTTTACTTTACTTTTCCATAAACATATATACATGAATCGGTCTCGTTCGGTAAATATGTTTTCTACTTTTTTTTTTCTTCTCTCGCTTTCTTTCTTATTCGGCTGCATTAGTTATTTTATTTTGTCTGAGACAAAAAGAAATTGATTTAGGTAGAAATAGAATAAAAGAAAAGAAAAAGGAACTAGTGTCTTTCACTAGAGACTTGACATTTTCTCATTTATCACGTTTTTCCTCTATTGTATTCATCTAAATATATATACAAATGTTTGCCATCACTTATTTCCGATGATGACGACGACGACACTGAACGTAACTCGCATATTGCGTTTTATAATTATAGAAAAACAAGATCATAAATTTTTTAGTCGATTTATTCAAATCAATATGGAATAATAACAGGGAAAAATATAAGCGTATTAATAGTCCATTAAACAAAATAGCAATAAACTTTGTTTTCCAATAAATTTAACTAGTTCAATATAAAGCTTATTTGAATAGATATTATAATCACAGAATTGAGATAAATATAAACTGATATACAATTATCTAATGATTTATTTCTTGCGAATAATATAGAATTTTGTTGACACACATATTCTAGTTTGAACATAATTAAAACATAAAAAAAAAGAGGTTTATAGAAATGTTAAATTAGAGTTCTTTTGGCATATGATGTTGCCAGATCTTTACTTATGACAGCACGATAAATTTTAAAATATACTCGTTTTGATGTATCTCAAAGTCATGAAAGAGAGGTCAGTACGATATATATTAATAGAAAATTTTTTTTCATATCGTGTAGTCTGGAAAGTGATGGTTATTCTTTTATATTGTATAGAAAAAAATAACATTTGTCTTTCAGAATCATTGACAATAATCTAAAGAAAAGTTTCTCTTAATAGATACTCAATTGTCGAAGTGTTCTTCTATTCTTTTTTTTAAAAATGATATAAATGTAAGAATGAAATCAATTTGTTGAATACATTAAATATGAATTTAACACCATAAAACAACAGTAAATTTAAAAGAAAGACACTATAAACAATCACTTCGTTCTGCTGAACTATTTTTCTCTGCAGCAACACTTCTAATTTGCCCTTCACAACATGTTTGCGATCATGATCGTTACTATCATAAAAAATATTCGGTATACTTTTAGCTATTAAACTTGCCAAAAATAAAAAACATCTATAATTTTGTTTTTATTTTATTCAATTCTTGACAGTGTAAAAATATGAAACAATTTAAAAACAACATCATTAATCGTCTTTGAGCGACAACACTTTATATCATGTCATTGATTTGTTGTCCTTGTTTTACCTAATTGAAAAATAAAATGCATAGAACATTTTTTTAAACGAATGTCGATTTATTAATTATCAATAGTTTGTTTTTTTTATTTATGCAATATTTTCGAGATTACCGTCAAAAATGTTACGTTATATTTACCTTGATCTCTCTTTTTATCTATTTTAAACTTAATCCCAAAAATGACAATGATAAAAAAAAACAACTATTATCATCAGGTTTGATGTGTTCTTCTAACACATGCCTTTTATATTTTTCTTATTCTCCTATAACATTATCTACACACTAAAAAAAAATAAAAACATTTCATTTATCTTCCAACAAAGACGAGCAAAAACTAGTAACTATTCTTTCTGTTTTATTTTGTAGAATTCATCATGAGTCACCAACATGATCATGCAGCTATGATGGCTAGTACAACTCCATTGATGAACCATGACCATCATATGATGAATCATTCAACTGATACAAGTGCAGTTTCTACTGGTCATGGATTTCATATGAAAGATATGATGATGATGGCAGTGAGTATGAGTTTTTATATAAAATATAATAAAAAATTCAGTAAGATGAAATCATAGATATGTTTGTAATTGAAAAACATTTTGTCGAAAGTATTTTTCTGACTACAATGGACATCTCAATCATACAATTCGAATGAGTCTACAAAAAAATGAATACATACATAATTGTACATTAGAACTAATCGAGTGCGATATCAAGTGATTTGTTTGTTATTCATATTTTGTCACATCATAGTGATATATGAAAAAGATAAGTTCTTATTATTTTGAGTATAAATTTTGCTTGTGTTTAATTACAATGCATAAATTAAATGAATGAAAGAAAGGATGAAGAAATTCTTTTTTTTTTCCTTTAATGCATTAGAAAAAAAATATTTATGATTGCCATAGTACCTATGGAAATTTCTTGAAAAACTTCATCTGAAAAAATATCTTTCAGTTGATAAAAGTAAAAGAAAAATCATTGAAATAGAATATCCGATAATGTGATAGCTTAGTTTTTATCGATTTAGGATTTCGTATACTAAAGTTAATCAAATATATTGTCAATAAAAACAAAGCCTTGACACTTTATATACATAGATGTTAGGCTGTTTGATATTTAAGAAAATTTGAATAATACCTGTAGATTGATGAATGATGTCTCTAAAATTGATATATTAACTAACGATGTGTTTTTTTATGGTTGAAAAACTTTCACAAGACAATTGAATAATTTCTTCTAATGAGATAATACTTCTGGAATATAATGCAGAAATATCTCGTCAGGCAAATGAACCTTGGTTTCTACAACTGTTATAAGATACACAACATGGTCTCTAAGGAAATCGATCATGTATGGAAGAAAAACAAACAGACTAATGATTCGTTTTTTTTTCATTGCGAAAACAACACTCGAATAGAAATATAAGCTCGATTTCGTTTTAATTTGAGTGCAAGTATTTTATTCTGAATTTATTTATTTTTATTGTTGTTTTTTAATAGATGACTTTCCATGGTGGTTATAAAGAACAAATTTTATTTGATCAATGGAATACAAAAACAACTAGTGGTAAATATCATTCATTATATTTCATTATTACAATACAAAAAAAAACAAAATTTCTTTTCTTCAAGCATTTGTTGCCTCATGGTTTGCAGTATTCTTCTTTGCTGTACTTTATGAAGCATTAAAAACATTTCGAGATGCATTAGCTAGACGTGATATATGTGCAACATGTACTCAAACAGAAAATCGTCAACAAACAGTGTAAGTTAATTGTGTTTATTTTTATTTAAATCAAAAAAAAAAAACATAAATTAATGCTATTAAATATTTATCTCGCTTGATTGCTCATCAGAATTATTTAAAAAAAAAAATTTCTGCTTGAAAAAAAATTGTGATTTATAATTGCTGCTGTAGTGTTCATCCAGATGATCATCAAGAGGAAAGACCTGGGGAAAATGATTTATTATCGCCTATTAGAATTGAAAATCATCGAATCAATCGGTGAGAAATGATTGATTATCAATAGTTGTTTATTTATTATGTTTTTTTTTTGATTCATTTTATTAATAATTTGATATGATTTTTTCTTTAGAGCTCGTTTATTAAGCGTTTCACATTTAATACAAACATTGTTACATATTTTACAAATGGCATTAAGTTATTTATTAATGCTTGTAGCTATGACATTTAATATATATTTATTTTTTGCCATTGTACTTGGTGCTGGTTTAGGCCATTTTCTATTTGGTTGGCGACGTTCATCTGTTATTGATTATAATGAACATTGTCATTAAGGACAAAATGAAAACTTTATTATTATTATTTTTTTCTAATTATATATTGTACCTTTTTAATTAATTGAAACTAATATCTTCATTTTTTTTTTTTGTTGGATCAAAATTTTCCAAAGATTGATCATTGTTGAAGTATTGTAATTCATGAATGTTTTAATTGTTATTTTAATTTATAGTGATCAATTATTTATCATTGTATTATGTAGATGTTTTCATTTTATGAACAATATTTTTTTAAATAATTTGCTTTTTAACACGAAGAAACTTTGTAAATTTTTATGACAATCAGGTCTATGGTCAATGAAAAGTAAAAATGTATTAAAACAACTAGTTAATAGTAGAATATGGAAGATACAGTTTTTCGAATTATGGAAACTTCCTACCGCAATTTTCAAATGAATTGCTCAAAGTCATTATAGAAAAGATCCATTTTAATCTAAACCAGCATTTGTTCTTCAACAGACATTCATAATGAAAAGAGAATATGTTAATTATTTTATAGTAATTTCTAATAAAATTTGGATTATATAAGATGATCACAATAGAAAATGATATGCGAATCATAACTTTAATACATATGAATCGATCGAAGGTGGGTTGGTGTTGCGATCATGGTGTCTTCCAGAACTGTAAAAGTGAGATATGAAGTTCTAAAGAGTAAATTTGATAGCAATCATTATAATAACATATTAGACCTAATGCCAATGCAAATAATAATAAATATAATTGTATTTCACAGAAAAGGAGTGAATAATTACCTTCTTTGACTTAGGCTCGTTTTCCATTGAACTTCAATTGTTTTTATTAATTTTTTTCGTTTCACTATTATCTATTATATAAGTTTTTAGAATGACCAAGGTACACAAGACATAAGTCAATCTCATCAAAAGTGTTATTCAGATCAATACGAACTATTACGATATCTAAATGGTTCGGATTTAAATAAGTTGATCGAGGCTAGTCATATTTTGATATAAATATGCTAATTAAAGTTTCAATTTTTTTGAGAAATCAATTCATTAGCAGACAGATCTTCCGTAACATTTGGTTCAACTTTCATCTTAGAGAGAAGGAAAGTATTAAAAAAGCATCCAAAACAGTAGTAGTCGATTCATGTATCGTTTAACGCATGATCGTCTACGATATGTTTAAGGTAATCATTTCTTTTCAGTCAAAGACTAGCAACGTTTTCATCGGATTACTTGTGATTAGAAAAGATTTTAATAGAATACAAGCATATACTAAAAACTATATTCAATTATTGTGTTCAGATAGACATGAACATTAGAAAACGTTTATGCGAACAAGAAAAACAATGTAGAAGCCATTATTGTAGATTCATCATGCACGTAATCCATGTCTAATTTTGATTATTATATAAGAAGGACTACTAAACTCTTCTTGTTACCAAACTTGAAAATCAATGTGTAGTTCCATATTAATGAATAAAAGTCAAAGTTAATTCTATCTAATTGTCATTCGAAAATAAATAGCTACTATACATCAAAATTTAGTTTAAATAAAAATTTATTGTCGAAATAATCAATATTTAATTGTTTTTCTTTAGGTTGTTGTAAAAACAAGGCCATTCTTATTTCTGTATCAGTTGCTATATATGATTCAGGAACATTTATTGATTGAAATGCCACCATATCTTTATTTCTTGTACCTATTAATAATTTAAATGTAGCATCTTGTTTAAATGGAATTGATTGATCATTTTTTCCTAAATTAATTCTTCTATTTTTATGACGTAGATATGTATTAGGTGCTGCTAATGATAAAAATGAGACATAAACAGTTGAAGAATCATTTTCAAATGAATTTTCATCTAAAGGATTTGTAATTAAAAATAAACTTCGATTAATTGGTGACATTGTTATTGTTGTTTGATAAGCAGATGAATCAAGTATTATTGCTGATATATAACGATTATCATCAAATGAACGAATATAAACTTGTTTATTGAAATACATAGTACTTCGAACTAAATTAAATCACGGATTAGATTTTGCGTTTGGAAAAACTTTTCAAAAGTGTCGAAAATTTTTAAAAAATTAGGAAATATAAAGACCTACAATGATCTGTTTCAATTTAGTAAAAACTTACAAAGTAAAGCACGTCGAATTGTCAAATTAGCCGGTGGTTTTGTTGAATTTAGAGACGATAAAGTAAATATAAATGAATAATCTACTGGATCACCAAAAGGTCGAGAATAGAAGGTTAAACGTTTAGTTGCTAATGCTTGGCTAGCATCATCACAATATGAAGGAAAGTTCAAACCAATATATAATTGAAGAATATAATCACATAGTGTTTTTGTAGATTTATATGAAGAACTAAAATAAGTATCTTTTTATCAAAAATCATCTTGTAAATAGATATGTTTGCTTGATACTCAATTTCTATTTTCTATTGATTCAAGTTGAGACACGCCATATTTTATGAAAGAATATTTCATATTATTGAATTTTCTTGAAATCTCAATTGATGAATTCAAAAAAAAAAGTTTTTTCTAAAGAAAACTTTTGATCAATGCTTTCCACATCACTTAGAAGATGTTGAGAATTCGGGAACAGATTTTTAGCGCTTTATAAACTTAGAAATAATACTAACCTCAGTTTTTTGACATTGTCAGAGCAAACTCTGAAAATCAAGCATTTTTTAGTATGATCATAATAATAATTGAAGTTCCAATTTTGAAAGGAACTCGTCGATCAGGCGAAATTTTCTATTAGATCTGTTAGATCGTTCTTTCAAGGAGGAGTCTTTTATTGCATGCAGGAGTTTATAACATATGTACATGTTGATGTTTCTTCCGACGAAAGGAAATATTCGACATTTTGTTTTTATCAATTATATTCGTTATTTAAGCTGATCAGAAGAATATTAAATGTATTATGTTAATTGAGAGTTTTCTAAGTAAAAGAACACAGATTGACAAGAACATTTTATTTAATGATGCAGAAATTAAAGCATCGCAATATGTGAAACAGCTGCTAGAGATTGATGAAGGACATCTTCTCAAAAAAGAAATCTTTCTTCTTGATACATCAAGTCGATGAAGAGCTACCTTAAAGTTGTGAGTCAAAGTTTAGGTATCCATGCGTTCAGAATTTCCACGCCATTTCATTTAGAGATGAGGCATATTACATTCACTGAGATATCAACAAAAATCACTTGTTAAAAAAAAAGAACTAAACATTGATTCATAGCCTATTTTAAGTTAGTGGTTTTTCGTGTTCAAATGTTGTATTCGTTTATTATACTTGAGGGTATGAATGTAATATGCTTAGATCTTATTCGAAAGTCAATAAAGTATAGTGCATTCGAGAGTAGGCACATTGTTCTATCTAACGAGCTATAAATCAGATCTTGTATGTTATAAATTGTTCTACACATTTTACTAACATTACTAGTGGCTGATTAGATAGAGAATATTCGATTACCTCAAAGATTTACAACATAGTACTGCAACGAGAATGACTTAAAATATAAATAAAAAGGGCGGTCTTTTTTTGCCTACAGTCAGAAATAATGTCTATGTTGTCGCCTCACTTGTCAAAATAGTTTAGACTAATACTAAGGAAATATTTGTGATCAATACCCTGAATTCTATTTATGGCATGTGTTTGGTCTAAAATAAAGAAAAAAAGTTTTCGAGGTTCCCGAGGATTATAAATGGTAAAAGAGTCAAAAACCTTGATCAGAAATAAATAAGACTAAGTATGCCTTTAAGAAATATTTAAAATAGATAATTGAGTGTCTTCTATCTAAGAAATCACTAATTGTGTCATTTAAAAATGTATAGAACGTTGCACAACATGCGAGAACCAAATAAAAAATGATCTGATCAACATGACTTTTCATTAGTAAATGGTAATTTTACCCGAAAATAACAGGCTACTTTTATTTTCAAGAATATATTTGTATTGAGCATGAAAGAAAATGAATCTGCGTGTAGCACCTTTCTAGAGTAACTGTTTCACATATTGAGATGCCTTGATTTCTGTATCATTGACTAAAAAAATACTTGAATACTCATCTGACACACAACAAGGAGGAAAAGCATTTCGATGCGTCATTGAAAGATGTAGGTACGAAAAATTCTAATGATATGCAAAGGTGAATAAGTATGCTCATGTGATAGTCAATGATTGACTCATTTAACTATCAACCGTCATTTGTTTATTTTTATCTAAAAGGTTGCAAATGGAAAATTTCTATAGTCGTACTTCTGTTTAATTATAGTATGGTTTTTAAGTATTGAATTAATTGAAATAATATCAATATCAAGAGTGGTATTTCGAGTAATCGTATTAAGTTTTGAATTTGTCTAAATGAAAAGAAAACGTTAATAAACAAAAGTGAAAAATTTAATTGATATTTTCTTTACTAAATATCGAAGGGATTCAATAGTTACACTTGTATTAAACATATGAATTGGTTTACATGTAGATTGAAGAATGGTGTAATCAATTCGCAGATAATCTTGATAATATTGTCCTTTTGAGTTTTGTCTTGGAATTATCGATCGTTTTAGTAATCGTGATATTTTTGACTCTATTCTATTTAATTATTTGTCATTAAAATGAAAAACAAAAACAAATAAAGTCCGTTTACCTCATGACTTGAACAAAAAAAGTTTTGGATGTAGATGATCCTTCATCAGTAATTGTCATAAGAGTTGATGTCAAGAACAATCCAAGACTGAAATTAAATATCGTCAACAAAAATAGATAAAACGTAATCCGTTGTCGAAAATAACGTCGACTATTAAAAATAATAAATAGCAATGAAAAAAAATTATGTAAATAATTCATGAAATTAAAATTTACCTAAACATAAATCGATATTTTTTCATAGCTTATGTTCAATAATTACAATGAATATTATTCAATCTGAAAATGTTCTATCAAGAAGAAATAAAACATTATTTTTTCGAATAGTTCATCATATGAAACAGTCTTGATCAAGCAACTCTTTATATGATGTAAGAG